TCTCGCTCTCAAATAAAATCTTAAAAAATTCTAAGGTAATATACATTTACAGTCACCTATTTTGTTTATTGAAAAAAATCGCATGTAAGTGAACCCATGCAGTTCAAATCCATGTTGTTCAAGGATCAGCTGTATTGTAAATATTACCAAGAGAGGTTTTTGAGGGGTTTGAAATTGTTCCATGCTGGGCTTTTTTTTTTTTTTTTTTTTTGAGATTTTATTTATTTAAGAGAAAGAAAAAGAGTGAGAGAATGAGCAGAGAGCAAGAGGAAGAGGGAGGAGCAGGTTCCCCACTGAGCAGGGAACTCAATGCAGGGCTGCATCCCACAACCTACACAGATCATGACCCTAGCCAATGGTGCCCCCCACACTCACACTTTTCTTTTAAAAGAATGCTAATAGGAGGGCAGGATTGGGGCATTCCTTGTTGTTTCTCTACTACAGGGAAAAACTGGGTGAGGAAGTGCCAGGGACTGCTCACTCTGGACAGGTGGCCCCCTTAAGTCAGTTTGCCAAGTGGAGGCTGGCAGAGGGCACCAGGAAGGTCATCAAGCTTCATGTGCTGACATACGAGGTTGGCACCATGGTACCACCGCTGAAGCCCAGTCCTGAGCCAGACTGAGCTGTGGGAGCGCCACAGTTTCTGTGTGAAACGGGGATCATCATGATACCCACCTCACCTTGGTTGTGAGGAGTGAATGAATTCATGTATAGCCCGGACATGGAACAGTACCTGGTTTGTCTGTTAGCATTTAGCTCTGAGGGTCCAAAGAACAGAAACATTTGTTTTTGTTTTGTTTTTCACTTTTGAAAAAAAATTTTTTTCAACCCTACTAAAAAGTTGTAAGAATGGTACAAATAACTCCCTTATAAAAGCCCTGTTGTTAACATTTTGCCACATTTGCCTTTTCTCTCTCCACACACATGTATCATATTTTGTTGCTAATGTTACTACTGAAAAGTAAGTTGCAGACATCATAACCCTTCCTTGCTAAGCACTTTAGTTTCTGTTTCCTAGGAACCAGAGTAAAGTGATCAGTTTTAGGAAATTTCACATTTATACAAAGTTTGTTTGTAATACAGAGACAGTTATGAAATTTTATCAATTGTTCCAATACCATCTTTCCAGCAGGACTCCCCTCTCGTGTCCAGGATCCAGTCCAGTCAATAGCGTTTTGTAATCCAGAGCAGTCCTTCTGTTTTTCTTTGTTTTCTCTCACTTCGACCTTTTTGCAGGGTTATAAAGCCACTTGTTTTATAGGATGTCCCTAGATTGGGCTTGGCTGGTACTTCCTCATGATCAGATTCAGACCATGCATTTTTGGCCAGAATACCACAGCACATCCCTCCGGAGGCTTGATGGCCGTGTGTCCCATTAGGAATGAGGTTAACTCAGGTCACCTGGTCCCTTCGTCATTAATAAGTAATCTCTGGGGAGAGATTTTTGAGACTGTGTGTGGATATCCTGTTCCCCAACATATTTTCACCTGGTTAATTGAGCATTTATTGGGCACTGACACTTGACCAGAATTCTCGTGAGGTTCACTTGCAAGTCAACATCTTGATTTGGCATTTAGATAGACACCAAAGTTTGCTTTTGCCTGCCAATGAGAAACAGCATTGGGAAACATATTGATTTTTATCAGAGATTTTTTTTTTTCAAAATTGGCTCAGAATTACCCTTCCTAGGCTTAAAGTCAGATTCATTTATCCAGTTGTTCAGTAAGTATTTGTTGGGTGCCTACTGAACAAGTGCTAAGCCAAGTGCTATTGCAGGTGCTGGGGATAAAATCATTTTAAAACCTTTTTTTTTTTTTTTTTTTTTTTTTTTTTTTTTAAGATTTTTACTTATTTGAGAGAGAGAGCGAGCATGAGTAGGGCGGTGAGGGCAGAGGGCAGAGCAGCTCCCTGCTCAGCAGTGCAAGGCTCAATCCCAGGACCCTGAGATCATGACCTGAGCTGAGCCACCCAGGCGCCCCTAAAAAACTTTTTAAGGAGAAACCCCTTTCTTCCCGGAAGGTACATTCTAATGGGGAAATCAGACATTAAATCTATATTATATTGTCAGGTAGTGAGGAATGAGGAAAGTGAGTTGGCAAGACAGCGAAGCAGTAAGGGGAGCTTCTCAGCTGGGCTTTTGGAGGTCAGGAGGTTGGTTCAGGTCAGACACTGCCTGGCAGTGGGAGCAGCTGATCTTAGGTCTTGAGATGGGATATGAATTAGTGGGAGTGGGAGGAGGTCCTTGGGGGCTTAGGCAGAGATATCAAGATTGGAGAGAGGGCTGGGGCAGGATCATAATGGGAAGCCAGGGAGTGGTCCAGGTTTGAGGGGGGCAGCCCCTCAGGAGGAATGGAAACCAGCCTTCACCCCTGATGCCAGCATGTAAGGCCGCCCTGCCCCTGCCCTGGGCTTCTGGTGCTGGTCTAACAGAGACCAGACCCCGAGGTGATACTAGCTTTGAGGGGGCCTAGAGTCCACCAGTGGGGCTTCTGCGTCCAGGCAGGAGTTTCTCAGAAAAGGAAGAAAGGCGGCAGGAAGTGAGCATTTGGAAACTATGTTTTTGTGTTTTCCCTGCCGCTGAGAGGGAGGGCAGGAAGGGGCTGGCCTGGGGAGGCCCCTGCTTCCCAGCACCCTGGGTGGCTAGGCAGTCTTTGACAAGCCTTGGCAGACAGGGGTGTGCTCGCAGGCCCGGCACTTTCTGATCTGGAACAGCCAGGGAGCCCCAGGCTGAGCCCAGGGCTGTGTGTTCTTTGCCAGCAGGTCAGGCTGTTCTCCAACTTGAGTGCTGCCTTTGTCCCAGGCCATCTCCCCCATACTGAGGGGGCCATCATTTAGAGCTTTACCAACCCCAGGCTACCAAAGTAACAGCAAACACAACAAAAGTAAGAGCTAGCACCTGAAGGGCACTTCTCTGTGTGTGATAGGGGGTGGGGGCACTCTCTGAAGGCTTCCCACCTACTGCTCACTGACTTCCTTTAACAAGGTCCTGGTCACACAGCTGCTAAGTGCAGATCTGAACTCAGGCTGACTGGCGCCAGAATCTCTGTTCTTCTCTGCCGAGCTATACTCAGATACAGGATTTATCTAGAGCCCACTGCAAGAGTCAGGGTGATGCCATTCACTCTGTTTGTGGCATTTTCTTGCCTCTTGGGATCTTGGTGTATTCGACCACTAGCCTGTCACCCAGGGCTCTTAGTGTTGAGAGTGAGGAGTGGGGATCTGTTTGCTGCTGCCCAGAGGGTTGCGAGGAGGCCTTTGTGCCTCCCTTTCTGGGTCAGATCCAGAGATTCCCAGGAAGTGGGGTGACACGGTGCCTCCAGTGGTCCAGATGACATGTTTTGTTTAATGTTGAGTACAATTCCATGGGGCAGATTTTATGACCACTCTTTAACAGATGAGGAAACTAGGACTTTAAGAAGTTCAGTAACGCGCCCAAGATCACACAGGAGGGGGAGAGCGTTGTGTCAGTTCGGATCCAAGAGCCTTCTTTGTGCCATGCAGCTTCGCCTCCCAGGGCTGATGCGCCAGGGCCTCTGATCCTCACCAGAAGTCGTGGGCTGGGTGTAGCACCTCTGGCCTTCTCTACCTGGCCGCTGGAGTAATATGGGGCTGGTACGCAGGTGTTAGAAGAGCACCAGCTTCAGGGTAAGGAGACCCCAGGTCCAGTGTTGCCTCTGCCACACCTCATGGCGTGATACTGAGTGAGTCCTGACTCCTGTGAACCCTCTCACTCCCCTGTGAAATGAGGATCCTAGTTACCTACATTCTTAGACCAAGTAGGAAAGTATAGGCTGGTGGTTCTTAGCTGGGCCTGCAGGTATGTGGTGGGTGTGGGAATTTCCTGGGCTGTTAAAATATGCCTGCTGGGCCTTCCTCAGGTTTTCCTGGGAGAGTGCTCTACATGGAGGGTAGAGGAGTCTGGGAGGACGTGGGTCTTTGAGAAACGTGTCAACTGATTTCAGAATACCGTTTTCCTTTCCTGCCCTTAACATCTACGTTGAAGCACTGCATATGAATGATAACAGTTGTAGCAGATGTTATTAAAAATTGGGAAAAGCATTTAACCAAAACCAGGTGGTGTTGGACCAGGACCCTAGCCTAGAGTCTGTTTGGGAAAACCTCAAGATTTCCTGCTGATGAAAACAGTGGTTCTCACCTGGGGGTGATTTTGTTCCCCAGGAGACACTTTGCAACGTCTGGAGACATTTTAGGTTGTCACAGCTGGAAAGAGGGTTTTACTAACGTCCCAGTAGAAGGCTGCAGTTCTGCTAAACATCCTGCAATGCGCAGGACGGCCCCTCCAACAAAGAAGTATCTGAGCCAAAATGTCGATGGTGCCAGGCTGAGACAGGCTGATTAAAAATAGCCAGCACTGACATAGTGTTTACTCTGTGTCAGACATTGTTCTAAGTGCTTCACAGGTATTAACTTGTTTAATCCTCCCAACTCTGGGACATAGGAGCTATTATTATCCTCAGTGGACAGATGGAGAAGTCGGGGCTTGTAAAGGTTAAATAACCGGGCCGGGGTCAGGGTCCCGAGGAAGGGATGGGCAGAGCCAGGACTCGAACCCAGACTGTCCCGCTCCGGAGTCTGTGCCTGCAACCACGGTCCTATGCCGTGCTTTGTAGGAGGGGAGGCCGCTTACCTTTCATTTTCAGCTTTGGGTCCCGAAAGCCACATACCAATAAATTTGCTGCGTGACAAGAGTCAGAAACCTTTTGTTTCTGTGCCAAGAACATAGAGGGGGAAGGATGAGGAGGGGCCCAATGACCCATCAGCGAAAACCCTGTGATTTCCAGATGCTGAGTGTGATTCACCTCATGAGCTGACCGGCATGAGGCTCCTCATGGGGTGACTATAACCTCTTAGCCTTTGGCTCCTTGGGGAATCAAAGACGGGGTCTCAGTCCCTGCTCTGTGCTGGGGACCAGCGTGTGACAGGCCTGTGCAGAGAGCACACCTAACCTTGCAGTCCTGTGCCGTGTTTGTCATCTGCAGATGTAAAGGCAACCGTGGTTTACCCGGCCACAGAGAAGCATCTACAGAAGTACCTGCGCCAGGACCTCCGCCTGGTCCAAGAGACGGGAAGTGATTACAAGAACATCACCTTACCCTACCTGGAGTCCCAGAGCCTCAGCATCCAGGTGACTGGCCCAGGGGCGCAGTCACAGGGTACCTCCCTGTGGGCAGTGTCTCTCTCTCTCGAGGCCCTGTCAGGGGCCATCGCCTTCCCATAGGTTTGGGGTCAGGCAGAGAGCCCAGTGGAAAGCCCTATCCTCCGGGGGATTTCATACCTCCTAGCATGGGGGTCAGCACACAAATGTGGAAGGAGCTGCATGAGATAGGAGAGGATGAGTGGCATAGGACGCTCTGGGCTGATGTGGTCACTCTTTTATCCAGGGTGGCCAGAGAAGGCTTCCGTGAGACGGGAATTGCTCCTTGTCTTGGGTGTGCCACTGAGGCTCTGTGGGACTCTCAGTGCAGCCTCTGGGCTTTTGAAGAACCTGTGTCTCCAGTTGCACTGAGACCGTCTCGGGAGGGCCGTGCCCTCAGCTGGGTCTGTGAATGGATCAGGACTGAAGCCAGAGTCACTCCCCTACCCTGCTCCAGACTTTTGTTCCTGGTTCCACCTCTGGGAATGTAGGCCCAGAGTAAAAACTTCATCCACTTGTTCCCCTTGCCGTTCGCTCCCCAGAGGGCAGGGTCCTGATGGCCTCGGCAACTCAGTGCAAGACCTCTTCTCCCAGGAGCTGATGTGAGGTTTGGCAGCATCTTCAGCCACTAGACCAGACACAAGGCCATTTAGCTCAGAGATCACGACTTCTCCCTGGGCCGAGGCCCAGTGCCAGCCTGAGCCTATGCCTGAAATTGGCCCCGAGTGAATGCTCAGCATTAAATATGATGGATGAGGCATTTCCTCACTTACTCACTGGCTCTCACCATCTCTGTCTCTCCGTCACTCCCTGTTCTCTTTGAGCATGTCTCACCCGCTTTCCCCAAGATGCCGGTCGTGGCAGTGGCGGGCACTCACATGCAAGGCACTTGTGGCCATTTCACCCTGGCCAGAAGAAGGGAGGGGTCCCGGGTGTGGGGTCCCTGCCAGGTCAGTTGTACCTGCGAGAAGCAGGGGCAGGGTGGTAGGCAGTCATGTGGGAGGCCCTGTGCACCAACAGCTCGCTTTCCCATGGTGGACCCCGGGCTGTTAGCTCCGGCCCTGCTGTGCTGTGTTGGCACCAACTCCTCTGGCTTACGCTGGCATGAGATTTTTATTTTATTTTATTTTATTTTATTTTATTTTATTTTATTTTATTATTTTATTTTATTATTTTATTTTATTTTATTTTATTTTATTTTATTATTTATTTATTTACTTATTTATTTTTATTTTTATTTTTATTTTTTTTTTAAGGCCCTGCACTTGCTCTGTCCTCTAAGTGGAAAGGAGATGTGTCTCCATCTTCCTAGATAGCTGCTGCCCTCCAGGGTCTTAGAGGAATCTCCTGGAATAAATGTTCTGTGGCACCAATTGCATACATGTGGGATCCAAACAAGGAAGCTCTTAAAGTTGGTGTGAGTTATATATGTCCTTCCTTTTATACACCACCGCCTAGTTCCTCTTGGAAAATAATACAATAGAATTCCACTACTCTACCAAGTTCTGTTTGACTCAAGCACCGGGTGGCATCGGGCCATGGCCCGGTGATGACAACAGGTGCTCTGCTGGAGGCTGCGGTGTTTTTTTCCTTGACTGTATCTAGGAAGTTTACAAGCACTTAGCTCAACTGACAACAGTCATTATTTTTATTGAACATCTACTCTGTACCAGGCTGTGTGCTAGGCTCTGGAGGGTCACCAAGGTAAACACTTGTAATGCCCCCGGAGTCTTGTAGGGAAAACAGACATGGAGTCTGACCAGTAAAATTTAATGGGATAAGTATTATCCCATGGTGGTTTGTATCCGAGGTTCCGTGGTGACCTGAAGGGAAGTGATCAGCTCAGACAGTGGGGACGTCACAGAGGAAGGGATCCTCCCATTGTGTTTTAAGGGACAAATAGAAGTTTGCGAGGGGGACAAGGCAGAGAACGGCGTTTCAAGCAAAGGGAAGAGCAAGTAGAGAGGCTCAGTGGGCTGGAGGATCGGCAGGAGACAAGAGGAGCAGGTGGGCAGAGGCCAGTGTGTGTGCCTTCAGGAGACCAGGAGCTCCCAAGCCTTGCTGATCATCAGGATTGCTTGGGAAGATCATTAAAAATACAAAGCACAGGGTCCTATTCCAGATCTACTGGATCAGAATGTTCAGGGAGTGGAGCTGGAAAATCTGTATTTTTTTTAAAAAAAAAATTCTGTTTCTAGTGATCATCAGATTTCGGAACCATTGCCATAGGCAATGAGCATCCCCTAAACGATTTTAAGCCTATGGTTTCCATGAGATTTAAAAGAATCGCTGGAGTCCGGTGAGCATGAGTATGGGAGCAGGAAGGCTCTAAAGGCTGGTGTGAGGTCTGTACCAAGGCTGAGGCAGTGTAGAGGGCTCCGGCAATGATTGGAGAACCAGGGCGTGGAGGTGGCAGATTTGGAGAGGCAAGCCAGGTGGCTCCAGGTCCAGCGTGGGCCGTGTGTGCATAGGTGGTAGGATCTTTAACCAGGATGGGGGCATGGACAATGCACAGGGTTAATGTGACAAACCATCCGTTCAGTTTGGGACTTGTGAGTGCTCACCAGGTGCCAGGGACTGTTCCAGCATTCTCTGTGCATCACCTTCTTGAATCATCTCTGCAGCTTTTTGGAGATGGGATTCACAGCCAGCAGTGTCACTCTGGCACCTGTGCTGTCAGCTGACCTTTCTGGTTCCTCAAATTTGAGGTGCTTGTAACTCCTCAGTAAATAATGTCATCAGACCTCTGGGTCCCGAGCATTAAAGACCCTCAAGCTCAAACTGTTGGTCTGTGAATCATCAGGTTGAAGTTTAGTGTCATCCCAGGATTCGGATTCTTACTCTGCTGTCTCAGAGCAGTGTGAGTGCCCCGCACTTCTGACCCCAGCCCCTTGTCTGGAAAGTGTGACTAGAGACCCCGTGGGGATTGAGATTGGTGCCACAGATCAGGGGGCACCAGAATGGTAGCTGCAATTGGGCACCCGTAGGTCTCATTCCAGGGACAGGGTTGGGGGAGTGCTGAGCTGAGACAGCTGGAGGTGTGGGCAGGTGAAGGGTGGCCAGGAGGAGAGCAGCTAGCAGGTGGGTGAGCAGAAAAGCAAAAGGAGAGTGGACAGGGAGTGAGATATCCCAGGGGAGGAGAGTTGCCAGTATCACCTACTGCAGGGAAGCCATGCCAGATGCATTCCAGAAGCCAGGACTGGCTGAGTCTCCCGGGCTGGCTTTCTGATGGGCTCTCTGCCCGTTACATGCGCCCCCACCCTGTGATTCATGTGAATTCTGTTCTCTGGTCCCCTCCCTTATCTGGGCTGCTGGCCTGGAGCTTCACATAGATTCACATCCCTCCCGCTCTCCCAGAGGCCTTCCCCATGTGGCTCAGAGTGTGGGCTCTGGGGCCATACTCTGGGTTGGAATTGGGTGGACTCTTGTGCTTGCTTTTTCCTTACGTGGGGACACCAGTGCATGTGAGTGGTAGTCCCTCTGAGGCCCTGAGGACCGGGCCTGGCCTGTGGTAGGGCTGCTGGCCACCACCACACCTTCGCCCCCCTCCTCTCTCGATGCTGCAGCCTCCAGCAGAGCGCCTGTGGTCATCATGGGGCCACAGCCTGACACCACCTCACATGGGGACTTTCCAAGCACCTTCCTCTGCTTTTTGGGGCCTACGCGGTGCTGGGTGCTGACAGTCATTTACACCCCACTCCACCCTAACATAGAGGTATTGTCAGCCCCTCTCAGAGGGGGATCCTGAGGCTCAGATAGAGTGTACCACTTCCCAGGGTGTCAACTGGTTAGTGAGGAGGTGTGAGAGAAACCAAGCTTTGGGGGCCCCAGAACAGGTTTGTTCTCCTATCTACTACCACACAGCTTTCCAGTCCAAGTGGGGGCTGCCTATCGGTGGGCAAGAGATAGCCGGGGCCCCAGGGTTCTCCAACGAGTATCATCAATCCCCTCATCCTTCCCCTTTACTTTTTTTTTTTTTTTTAATTTTATTTATTGATGAGAAACACAGAGAGGTGGAGATACCGGCAGAGGGAGAAACAGGTTCCCCACTGGGAGTCCAGTGCAGGACCCATCCCTGGACCCCGGGATCATGACCTGAGCAGAAGGCAGATGCTCAACCACTGAGCCACCCAGGCGTCCCTCCTTTTTACTTTTGAAGTACTTTGGGTCAGGTTCCTGCTGACTTTTTTTTCCTGCAGCACATTCCCAGTGAGCTTTCCAGTGGAAAAGGAAATGCCTCTGTGGGAGAGTCTCCACTTGCTGGGCTGGGCATTGCTGTGGTCCTTGTGCTGCTCAAGGAAGCCGCTGTTGGCTATCCTCCAATCCACTCCCAGTGGCACAGCCAGCCTTCTTGGGAAGGCTCCTCTCTTGTAGTGGGTGGGCCACATTGTGACTGACCTGTGGGCCTTACCAGGGGGTCTGGGAGCCCTAGGTAGTCCCTGGCAGGTACCCTCTGCTCCCTCCTCTCTCTCACAAAAGCACATTTGACCTTAGCCACGCTGGCTGAGAGCCGAGGATGTGGATTTGGGATGAGGTGTGCAGACTCCAGAGCAGCCCCTCCTGCCCCTGGCCTTCGCAGATACCCCTCGTGCCAGAACTTCTGGGAGCGGCCAAAGGACCCTCCACTGGCCTGGTTGTGTCGGTTGTCCATGCCCTGGCCTCCTGATCCACCCCTTCGGTGACCCGGGAGGCCCTTCCTGAGCACGAGCCCAGCAACTGCCCCGTCTCTGGCTCTCCAGCAGACTCTTCTCTCGGGTTTCAAGCTGAGAGTTGACTCAGAGTTCTGGGGAAGTGAAGAGAGGAGGTCTGTGGGTTTGAGCCCTGTGAGAAGAGGGCCTTTCTTATCTTAACCTCCCCGTGGCTTCTTCAGAGAGGCCAGCAGGACCCTAATTGTAAAAGGACATCCTTGGGATCTGCACAGAACTCAAGGAGGGGTTCTCTGAAGACTGTCAGCAGCTGATAAAAAGGTCTCAGGGGGTGGGGACTCGGCTGGAGGCCCTGGGTTGGCAGGAGAGGTGTGTATAATTGCCATCTCCTGGTCACACGGGGGCCGTGTCAGCATCAGAGGTACTGATCCCAGCACGAGCAGGAGTCCCACCCAGACGGATGGGAAGCCACACAGTAATGTCTGGGCCTTCCCTGCCTTGCTGGGTAGAAGGAACCCCCACCCTGCCCATCTTGGCCTGTGGTCCAGAATAAAGTGGGAAGGGGCTTCTGGAGATGCTACTGCTGAGTCCTGGGGACGGGGACGGGTATAGACCGGCCCTGTGAGGCCAGAGCAGTGTGTGTCCACAGGAAGGACCTGAAGAGCCTCCCTGACCCAGCTCAGGGGGCCCTGAGGGGATGGCTATGGTGGGAGAGGGGAAGTCTCTTCTGGATGCCCAAGAGCAGAGCAGTGGGGACAAGGCAGCCCGAGTGTAGAACCCCCCCCTCTCTGCCCCGAGCTGAGTGGCCCTTTGTGGCTTGGCCCAAGAGAGCTTTCCTAGCCCGGTCGGTGGTGTTTCCCTGGAAGTCATGAGCAGCTATGTGAACACTGTCTCTCCCCCCTCCTTCCAGTGGGTGTACAACATTCTCGATAAGAAGGCGGAAACCGACCGGATTGTTTTTGAGAACCCAGATCCCTCCGATGGCTTTGTCCTCATCCCCGATCTCAAGTGGAACCAACAGCAGGTAAGAGCTTCCGTGCTGGGGCTCTCTGTCGCCCTGTACTGGCTGCAGGCTACCCTGCCCTTCTTTCTCACGCTGGTCTCCGAGCAGGTTTTAATGAACCAACAGTGGAGGCCTGAGCTGTGCACAAACATTTACACCATAATGGGCCTGCTTAGAGTTCTTCCTGGCACTCCTTCCACCCAGGGGTAAAGCATGGGGTAATGTTTGCATCCAAGTGGCTTGGCCTCCATCCTCCCTTTGAGGAGCCCCTGGAGCCCTGAGGACAGTTTACATTCCTCCTATGCCCCTGGAGAACAGCAGATCTGGGCAGGCCCATGGTCTGAAGCACCGATAGGAGCCATGGCAGCCAACCCAAAGGGTCCCCCTCCACTGCCCGGGGCTAAGAGCAGTGTCCCAGTGGCCCAGGCTTCCACCTTAGCCTCTCAGCTCTGTTTTCTGGTCTCCATACTCCTCACCTCCACCCTCCTAAGGAGCAGGTTTCCAGCAGAGCTGACCTCCCTCACCCTCTCTCTGGTTCTCTGCAGCCGCCTCACCCCCCCCCCCCCCCGCCATCACAGTAGCCCACCACCAAAGCCATCGTGGACCACCACCTCTTTGGGTGGACTTTTGTACCGACAGTATCAGCAACAGGCAGAGCACTGTGTTGCGGGAAGTGCTGTTCACCACACACACCACCACCACCACCCCACCACCCCACAAACTCAGCCTGTGGTGGGCCAGGGGCCACCGTGAGGGATTGCTGGGTAGGGAGTGAAGAGTAGGGAAACTCTGTCTCCCAATTCAGATCTTTGAGTCATCCGAGCTTGAGTTTGCAGTGCTGCCCTGGGGTGGATCCTTCTGGTTCCTGAGCTCCTCACACAGAGGCATTGTTCTAGAGCCCGGCTTGTCGCCTCTCCATGCACACCTTCCCTCCTGCTTTCTCAGTCATGGCCTGCACTGGGCTCATCAGCAGTTGACTTGGTTTTGATTTGGTGATTTCTAGACCTACCATACCACTCCTTCATGAATGGGGGAGGGCCTATGAGGGCCTATGGTTTGGGGTAAAGGGACAGGATTTCAGCTCAGAGGCACACAGGCAAGTGAGTGCCAGCTGCCTCTTAAGAGAGGCTCCTGGGAGTTACTGAAGTTGCCTTAAGGGATGGTAGCGAATCCGAAGGGGGTTTTCAGAAGTTGTAGCACTGTGTGATGATTCGTTCGAGCCAGAGAAGAGCAAAGGAGGTGACTGGCCACTGGTACGGTGTTGTAGTGGAGGGAGGCTGCCAGAGTACCTGGTGTCCACTCCCACCACCCCCAGCCCTGCAGCTTATCCCCACCACAGGCCCGGATGGAGGAAGCCAGGCCTGGCTCTGGAGTTGTCAGGGAGCTGGGACAAGACCACAGAATAGGTGTGCTGGTGACAGGTCTGGGCGATGCCTTTGTGCAGCTCTGCAAACCCCCTGTCTGTCCCCTCGGGTCATGAGAGATGGTATATGAGGTAGGAACAACTTCTAGACAAAGACAAAGAGCTCGTGACTTGCAGGGGCAGTGGTCTAAGGGCCACGCAGGGACGAAAAAGATTGACCTGCTACACACTTGAGCCCACGGCACTGAGAACGAAAATGCATCGTCCTTTTGACCTTGTGCTGGCAGGCATCCTGCTTGGCCTACCAGTTGGACTGCCTTGTCTGTCCCCTTTAAGACAGAAAAGTCTTCAGGAACTGCACTGGGCTCCCAGCCACAGGGCTGGGGCGGCTGGCCCTCGGGGCTTGTGAATAGGCAGCTTAAATGTCAGCCTTCTTTTGATGGCCATACAGGTGCAATTGTTCTTAACCTTTGCTTAATTAGCGCGAGTCTCTTGGTGGTGCCATATTTCATTGTCTCAAATCCTTGGCTTGTGACAGAACACTGAAATCGACAGCTCCCTTAGAATTTGGCAGCGCAGCCAGCAGGCGAGACAGAGCGAGCCTGGACTTCTCTTCTTTTTCCTTATACCAGGAGAGTACTGAAGGAAGAAGTGCTCCGATGTTTGCTTTATTTAAGGAGCCTTCTTTGCCACGTGGGAGTCTCTTCCTGCTGCCCTTTTCCCCAAAGGTCTAACCGTATTGCCTCCCACCTGCTGGCCCAGGATTAAAGAGACTGTCTGTCCATATGTCCAGCTGTCTACCCATCTATCCGTTCCACATATATTTATCAAATGCCTAATGTCTACTAGAGAATCTTGCCTCCCTAGAGCTTATAATATCCTTTCCCCAGTTGTTTTAAAAAATCGCCTGTATGTTCTCTTTTAGTTGCTTTTTTAACTTTTTTTTTTTTTAATTATTTTTTTTTTAATTTTTATTTATTTATGATAGTCACAGAGAGAGAGAGGCAGAGACACAGGCAGAGGGAGAAGCAGGCTCCATGCACCGGAAGCCCGATGTGGGATTCGATCCCGGGTCTCCAGGATCGCGTCCTGGGCCAAAGGCAGGCGCCAAACCGCTGCGCCACCCAGGGATCCCTAACTTTTTTTTTTTAATTTAAAAGTCCAGTTAATACATGTGATGTAGTTTGAGAATGTAGGTGAGGTCCGAACCTACACTAAGAAAGAATTCTTGAGACATCTTTGATGCAAAAAAGATGGTTTTATTAAAGCAGGGGGTAGGACCCGTGGGCAGAAAGAGCTGCTGCCCCCGGGTTATGAGGAGCGGCTGATTATATACTTGGGAGTTGGAGGCAAGGAAAAAGGAAGGTTTTCAAAAGGACTTTCATATGCTAAAGGGGACCTACGAGACTGGAGGCCTTGCCCTTATCTAAGGTTCCTTTTCCCTCTAGCAAGGCATTAACATTAAGACAGTTGGGAACTTCCACCTGGAAGTTAGGTTATTGATAAGAATGCTTTTTTCTTGTAATTCACAAAGACATTTATAAACTGAGGGAGAATGCTGTTTTTCAGGACTTGCTCTCTGTACCTTAACCATTTGTTTTCCCTTCCCTCAGCTTTAGGGCAGCCCAGAGAGGCTGAGGAATGTCACCCATGTTCCACCTGAGGGTGGGGGGGTCGTGGGGGTGCTCTGTCCTCAGCTTGCCTTCTGCTCTCTCATCCCAGGCACGTGGTAAAAGTGCAGGTAGTACGAATAGCGCAGTGAGAGGACTTCTCTCATGCCACATTCCTCCGTCTCTCCTTCCAGGTATAGTCCTTGCACATTGTGTACATAGGTACATTTGTACATGTGTCTATGGACACGATGCGCCTTTCAGGTCACCTAAGGTATGTTCTTTGATCTGAAGTGCCCAGACCAAGAAACTCTTCCTTTGGGTCACTCCAGAGGTGGAGAGATGGCCAAGGCTCCAGCCACTCCCCATCTCCCCCCCCCCCCCCCCCCGCCAGGAATCTGTTAACTTTTATTCTGTGGGCCTGTTTGTGTTTGTTTGTTTTTTTTTTTTTTTAAGATTTTATTTATTTATTCATGAGAGACACACACACAGAGGTAGAGACACAGGCAGAGGGAGAAGCAGGCTCCATGCAGGATGTGGGACTCGATCCCGGGTCTCCAGGATCAGGCCCTGGGCTGAAGGTGGCACTAAACCGCTGAGCCACCTGGGCTGCCCTAGCCTGTCTTTTAAAAAGAGATTGGGAGTGCCTACCTAGCCTGCCCAGAGTGAGCAGTGGGCCACCTTCTCGGATACCAGTCTGAGACCCTTGCCAGCTCCTTGTCTAGCTTTCTTCAGACCATTTCTCTGAGCCGGGGGTCCTAGAACTGCCTGCAGAAAATCTGGATTGATGTTTGCTATCAAAGAATGGGTTTCCTTTCCCTCTCTCACCCAGCACCAGGCTTCATGCCTCATTCGAGGCCTGTGGAGCAGAGAAGTGTGATTTAATGTCATGTTTGTGATTTTTCAGCAGGCATCATTTAAAACAAATGCTACTATTACCTGAGAGCCTGTGACAGTGACACGTAAGAACAGCTGAAGATACCAACAGGCACAAAGACATCCCAAGTTCAAGCAGTTGTATTTCCTGCTTCTCCTCTGGCTCCGAGAGAGAGAGAGAGAGAGGAGAGAGAGAGAATGTCCCAGGCACAGGCCCTGAGAAGGGAGAGTATAGAAGGGCCTTCCGAGCAAAACCGAGCCTTAGTTAGGCACAGCTTAGCTGTTTGCTGGGAGGTTCCCACGGGGCTCATCTGTAGCAGGTCTGAGGCAGAGAGCCCAGACCGTTGGAACTCCGGCAGAGAAGCATGTCTATGGGATGAAGAGACTATGTTGGCATGAAGAGGCACAGTTGGACAACAGGCACCATATGGGAAACCTCCTTCTTGGTTTTCAAACTGAGCCCCTTGGGGATTTGGTTAGGCGACTCGTCCCCAGATTATCCCTGGGAGGAACGTAGCAGCTCAGGCTGCCCGGCCGAGTGCTGCGGGGTCCCCTCCAAGCCTTGCTCTGTGGAGCCCTGGTGTCTGGGGCCCGCCTTGCTCATGGATGTGTGATCATCAGCCAGGCCAAGGGTTTGAGTGAGCAGGGAGGGGTGGGAAGGTTTTCTGGGCAGAGGAAGAGTTCGTTTGCCTTCTGGCACAAGATCTTGTTGACTTTGGTTCTTTGCACTGTTGTAACCTCCAGATTTTCAGCCAGGCGCTGTTTTCAGGAAGGACGGCAGGAAGGGTGCTCTGTGGGTCCTGTGCTACGGGAAGAGAGAAAAAGATTTGGCACTCTGCTCTGCTCGGTCCCTCTTCACCCTTCAGGTCATTCTACACCCCTTCCCCTGCTCTGGACGCCCAACAAATCAAGTTACTTGCTCTCTCCTTCACATGCTCTATACTTTCTTTCCTCTGAGCCTTTGCTTTCACTGTTCCTTCTCCCTGAATGCCCTTTCTCTAAACACTGTCTCTCCTTTAAGACTTGGATCCCCTGCCTCCTCTTCCAGGAAGCCTGTGTGGATCACCCTCGCTAGTCTTTCCTTTCTTTTTTCTGTACTTTTATCACTTTAGGTCTTATAGTAGCTACTTACATACATGCTTTTAGCCCATTGACTCTTGTGGGGGGGAAGAGTTGTCCTTGGCCCTTACTTGAACCCTCTCCTCCCACCACCGCATCAGCTCTGTGAGTATATAAATATTCCCATATGATATTCTTTAGTAGGGAGAATAAATAAAAGTTCTGCCTTAGACTGTCCCACTCACCCCAAGCTTGTGGAGGCACCCATGGCCTGGGGGTCGGGCCTGCCGCGGGCTTCCCAGGATTGCCTGTGGCTGGCACTGTGGCAGGCCTGGCGGCAGGCGCTTCTTGGCTTCCATGAGGGATTGACTCCAGGATCGGCTGCCTCCACTGGCTCTGCCCGTCGCTGAGCATAGTTTACCCCTGCCAATCTCTGCACAGCTCGATGACCTGTACCTGATTGCCATCTGCCATCGCCGGGGCATCAGATCGCTTCGGGACCTTACTCCAGAGCACCTGCCGCTGCTCAGGAACATCCTCCGGGAGGGCCAGGTGAGTTGCCCTTGCCAAATCCACACAGAAGCCCAGAGCATTTCTTTTTTAAAAGATTTTACTTATCGGGATCCCTGGGTGGCGCAGCGGTTTAGCGCCTGCCTTTGGCTCAGGGCGCGATCCTGGAGACCCGGGATCGAATCCCACGTCGGGCTCCCGGTGCATGGAGCCTGCTTCTCCCTCTGCCTGTGTCTCTGCCTCTCTCTCTCTCTCTCTCTGTGACTATCATAAATAAATAAATAGAAGTTTAAAAAAAAAAAAAGATTTTACTTATTTATTCATGAGACAGAGAGAGAAGAGACACAGGCAGAGGGAGAAGCAGGCTCCATGTGGGGAGCCCGATGTGGGACTCGATCCTGGGACCTGGGGTCGTGACCTCAGCCGAAGGCAGATGCTGAGCCATGCAGGTGCCCAAGCCCAGGATTTCTAGTCCCATTCCAGTGTGTTCTCTGGCCACTTTCTTCACCCTTCGCAGAAGTCCCTCTGTGGGAGGGCTTCTCTCTGGATGCCCGTCCCAGGACCCCGCGGAGGTCCTTAGGTGGACTCACAAGGCCTTTGTCTCCTGGTGCTGCCCTTCCCTCCAGCTATAACTTCCAGCCGCCTTTCCTCCGCCTGGGTTCCTGCTTTGCCTCCCTGCCTTCCTCCTGCACGTTTCTTCAGGGGCCCCCTCCCCTCCCAGGATCCCCTGTGTCTGCTCATGTCAGCCACATTGCACCAGACGTGTTTCTCGGGCATTTGGGTCCCCGACTCCGATGTGTGTACACATGTACCTCCTTATCTGCCCCGAGGCCAGGGCCTGAGTTCTGTAGCCCCTGGCCTTCTGGGGTACCTTGTATGGGAATATTTGTTGAATCGCGTGAAGGAGGCGAGGAAAGAGAGTCTAGAATCTTGGGTTGTGGTCTTGGTTCTGACTGTCTGACCCTCACCACCCGAGTGACTCCGGGCAGGACTCATCATCTCACCTCCCTGGTGAGATGGGCCTCGGTATGTGGATGAGACGCTGCCAAATCCCATTCTGGGGGGCGGTTCTCAGCCGTTTGTCCGCTCAGACATTCAGCGTTGCTGCCCCCGTGCCAGGGCCCAGCAGTCACCAGGGTGCCCAGCCAGGAGCGAAGCTTGCGGCTCTGCAGCAAGAGTTGCTCCATGGCTCTGCTGCCGGCCTGGGGGAAGGGCTTTCCTGGACCTGCTCTTTGCTGACCTCTGGACCCCAGCTGCCGCACCACTGCGCCCTCCCCGGCCTTCTCCCTCCTGCCTGCCCGCATCACTGCCTCTGCGGCCCCCTGTCTCTTTTTGGAGTCCTTTGTTTCTCTCCTGAAACAGCCTCTGGATGGCGGAGTGGCGTCTTTCTCTCAGGGAGATGCTGGGCCTCCACTTCACCTGCCCTGGCAGCTGGGGCAGCCTCGCCCAGACAGGCCAGCAGCACTTATCTCCAGAAGGCCTTTGGGCACCCTGGCCCTGGCCTCACACACCCCAGGCAGAGTTCCAAGTGCAGGATGTAATTGTGGGGTGTATCTTGAACCCAGTGGGGCCCTCGACTTTTTCTCTTAGCCTCTGACCACCTCAGGGATTCGCTGGAGTCTCCTGTTAAAGCCAAGCCTCCGAGGCTCCTGAAGGGGAATTTGGTTGAAAAGCCATAGCCCTGAGCAGGGTGGGGGGGTGGATGGAGGGAGCCGGGGTCAGAGTCAATGCTTTCCTCTTCCCCCAGGGGTCCCTGAGACCTTCCCTGGGTCTTGAAGGGGCGGCCCTTCCCGTGTGCCCTGCCCACCCTGTCTCTCCCACCAAGCCTCGGCTCAGCCCCATCCCTGTCACCCTTGCTCCCCAGCTCCTCTCTGTTCTGTGCCAAGAGGGGGTATAATCCTCCCTCCCAGCTGCTTACTGACTGCGGTCTGCATCAGTCAGCCAGGGGGAGGATAGTCACTGTGGTCTTGGACACCTGGGGCCTGTCCTTAGTAGGCACGGGGACTTCTGGACTCCCAGCAGCGACTGTGGGAGGAGCTTCAGTGTTTTATCCAGGTTGGAGCTCGGAGCCTTAAGGGAAGCCACCGTTCCCATCATTTGGGAGAAAAGCCTCTGCTCAGCCTTTCTCACCTGCTTTTGTTGATGCCCCAGAACAGAGGGCAGGGACCTGTAGCAAACAGTGGGGAGGGAGCTGTCCAGAGGCCAATCAGGGATCGGGGCCAGAGCAGGGGCCTGGGGCTGCGGGCCTGTGGGCAGCTCAGTGACCCCTCCTGCCACTCCCCTTCCTCATCAGGAAGCCATTCTGCAGCGCTACCAGGTGAGGGGAGACCGCATCCGTGTGTACCTGCACTACCTGCCCTCCTACTACCACCTGCACGTGCACTTCACAGCCCTGGGCTTCGAGGCCCCGGGCTCAGGGGTGGAGCGGGCTCATCTGTTAGTGGATGTGATCGAGAACCTGGAGTGTGACCCGGAGCACTACCAGAGGCGCACCCTCACCTTTGCCCTCAGGGCTGATGACCGCCTGCTCAGGCTCCTGCAGGAGGCCCAGAAGAGCTGAGTCCACCCAGGGGTTGTCGGCAGAAGAACGCCCAGGTGTGGGATCGGCGGGGGACCTCGGGGGTTTTTACCACTAAGTGAGTTTTTTAAAAAACGTATTTTGTACTGGCTCCTTCCTAGTATGTGAATAAAGCCCTGGTCTCCTTCCGTGTGGACTGATGGCCCTGGCTGGGGGAGGCAGGTAGAGTGAGCAGAACGGGGTCGGAAGATCCTGAGAAAGGAGCCGCGTCTGGGGCGGTGGCCCCCGCTGACCTGGGAGCGGCCACGGGCTTTCCACAGATCCCAGTAAGCACCGTCCCTGGTGGTTTCCGTGTCCTGGGTCCCTCAGGATCTCTCTCTGCCTCCCGCCCTTCGTACTCTGCTCTCACGTCCTCCTTCCTCCTTCCCCTTTTCCGCATCTTCCTAATGGTTTTCAAGGCCCACGTGTCCAGGAGTTCCCCAAAAAACCAAAGGCAAAAACTTTCTGGAAGGAATGTATAGTTTTTGACAGTGCTTCCTCTTCCCGTCCCCAGAATTGCGGTCGCACCTCCCATGCATGAGTCAGCGCTGCCCCTTAACTTCTCGTTGACAAGAATGAAGGATTGCCGCCTGGAAGTGGGAGGCTTTTAGTAGGAATCAGATGATGCAAGCCCCCAAAAGCTTGCCTTTGCCTCTGGTATTTGGTCAGCAAGCCCCTGGCCTTGAGTTTGTTATCTGGGCAGGAAGACAACACAGACTCACACAGCAGCCAGAAAGACCAAATGCAAAACAGCCTGTCAACGAGGGCAAACTGATAGGGTCAGGGCAAACTGATAGGGTCGTGGGGACCGGAGCTCCAGGGGGCTGGGATTTGAGGTGTGACCAGCGACTCGGGGCCCTGTTCACAGACTCTGGAGACCAGGAAGGGGCTCCCAAGCATCTGAGGCTGGTAGCTTATGGGGGGGCGGTGACACCTACCCCTGCTCCGCCTGCACAGGGACACAGGTGCACACGCGAGGGCACGCAGTTGAGCAAATAAGGCCCCTGTTTCAGCACAGAGGACAGATCTGTCCCAAGGCTGGAGGGAGGCTGGTTTTGCTGGTTTGTCCCTTGGCCCCGCTGGGTCATGCTTCCTGGAGCCGGGGTGGGGGTGGGGGGGGTGGACAAGATGTTGGGTTCTGCTAAGTGATAAGAGGGAAGACGCTGAAGGCCAGGCCGGGGTGGCTCTTGGCTCTTCCTCTGCAATCCCGGGGATGGAGAGGGGACCAGGGGACAGACAGTTCAGAGTCAAAGGTTTATTAAGCAGCATGTTGTGGGCCAAGGACTGCCCTAGAGGCCGCTGGTGAACAATCCCTCCTCCGTAACCTGGAACCAGACCCTGGGAGTCCCTGAGCCGTTTGTAAAAGGGCTCGGGGATCATCCGTGAAGCGTCCTGCTGCGTAAAGGGAACACGTGATAGTCTTGCTTTACGGTAAACTTGGACTTACTGAGGGACTCTTAAGCTAGACAGTGCTTTAAATGTTGGGAAAACAAAGCTCCTACCCTCCGGGCTACTGGGGCAGCCAGCCAGGTGAACGTAGGAGTAAGAGGGCTGCACCGGGAGCTGGGAGCTACCTTGGGAACAGATATGTGGGAGAGGCTGGTGCAAACGGCTCCCTAGGAGGACAGAGGAATGGGCCTGTGGGGCCACGGCTGCCCAGCTCCTGTCCTGGGAGAAGGCCGGCTCCCGGAGAGCTGCCTGTCTGCCCCCAAGGGGGAGAAGCCAGGGGAGAAGCTGAAGGCAGCTCATTGCAACTCAAGGGCCTCTCCTCTAAGACCCAAGCTTTCTGACCACACCTGGCACTTCCTGTCAGTTCTGCGGAGTCTCCGTTCCCAGGGGCCACGTGCAGCTCCCTCCACCTCAGACCTCGTGGGCCTGCAGCAGGGGGCAGCAACTGCCCCCCAACCAGGGCTCTCCCCTCAAGTAAAGGGACCCCACTCAGTCCCAGGTCTCCTGGTTCGCGGTCCAGGGGATGCAGAGTGAGAGCTACCCCTCTCTGCCCGAGCTTTCTTCTTTTCTTTTTTTTTTTAAGTTTTTATTTATACATGACAGACACAGGCAGAGGAGAAGCAGGCTCCCTGCAGAGAGCCCAGTGTGGGATCCCTGGATCATGCCCTGAGCTGAAGGCCAATGCTCAACCGCTGAGCCACCCAGGCGTCCCTTCTTTTCTTTTTGTTTAAGATTTTTATTTATTTTAGGGGATCCCTGGGTGGCTCAGCAGTTGAGCGCCTGTCTTCGGCCCAGGGCGTGATCCTAGAGTCCCAGAATCGAGTCCCACATCGGGCTCCCTGCATGGAGCCTGCTTCTCCCTCTGCCTGTCTCCACCTCTCCCTCCTCTCTCTGTGTATCTCATGAATAAATAAGTAAAGTCTTTAAAAAAAATAGAAGACTTTTATTTATTTTAGAGAGATGAGAGCGAGGGCATAAGTGGAGCAGAGGGAGAGGGAGTGAGAATCCCAAGCTGACTCGGAGCTGAGCTCAGAGCCCAATGTGGCGGGGCTCGATCCCATGACCCTGAGATCACGACCTGAACCCAAACCGAGTTGGACGCTTAGCTGACTGTGCCACCCAGGAGCCCCTGCCCTAGCTTTCCTCTTCTTTTTTTTTTTTTTTTTTTTAATATTTTATTTATTTACTCAAGAGAGACACAGAAAAAGAGAGGCAGAGACACAGGCAGAGGGAGAAGCAGGCTCCATGCAGGGAGCCTGGCGTGGGACTCAATCCCAGGTCTCCAGGACTGCACCCTGGGCTGAAGGCAGCGCTAAACTGCTGAGCCACCAGGTCTGCCCCCTAACTTTCCTCTTGATGCCACTTTGCAGAACCCCATATCCTGTCTCCCCCGAGAAAGCTTCCTGAGCAAGATCCAGTGTCCCTTGACCCCACCTTAACCAGCAAGCAAAGGCCAGCACCTCTGGCAGCATGATCCATCTGTCCTGCATGCGCAAAGAACGCCTCTGTGTCGTTCCCACCCCTGCCCCCCTGCGTGTGTGATGTGTCCCTGCCCTGCTGGAGCAGTGGTACAGGTCACCCTTCCCAGAAAAATCCTGGACGCGGCCACAACTGGCTGTCAGCCCCCAGTACTTGGCCTACTATCTCCTCGGCGTGGCCTGAGAAGGAAGGAAGCATTTTGGAGGCATGACTGCTATTGTTCCTTGGCTCCTCTCATTTTGCCCAAAAGTTTCCTCATAGAGCAAAACTGCCGAGTGTCCTGGATTTGTCAACATTCCTTCCTGAAGCCGAGAAAACATTTTGGAACAACTAAGCTCCGCTCTGCAGTGTCTCTGTTGAACACAGATCCCGGTACTGAGAAATCAAGAAACATTTATGTACAAAGTAATATTTGAAACTGTTTCTTCTGTAATACTTCCACCTCCAAAACATTTTAGCCTGTCTCTTCCTGAATACACTGGTGTAGGCCTGCCAATTCTTCCTTCTCAGAAAGGGCAAAAATCTTCATTCCAAACATGTATATATAATGTTAAAATGTCCCTTTTTAAAGAAGATGGTAGTAATGGATCGTGATTGTTTTTAAAATATCCTCACTCGGCAAAATAAATGTTGGCAACCCTGTGTTTGTTCAAGTGCTATTACTAGTGAGACAGTATTAGCTTCTGAAATCTAATCTAACTTCAAACTTGAAGTTACCATGTTTTAACCATTTAAAGAATAAGCAGGGACTGAATCAGGTATTTTTTTTTTCTTTATTCTTATTTATTTATTCATGAGAGACAGAGAGGCAGAGACAGGCAGAGGGAGAAGCGCGCTCCCTGTGGGGAGCCCGATGCGGGACAGGATCCCGGGACCCCAGGATCACAACCTAAGCCGAAGGCAGAGGCTCAACCACTGAGCCACCCAGGGGTCCCAACTGAATCAGTTTAAAGTGTTTCTGAATTCAATACACAGGGTTTGCACATCTACCCTACTTTTTTTAATAAGGGAGAATCTGGAGCTTATGATTTAGTGAGGACCACAGGCATTAATTACGCAGTCATTACAAGAGCGGTGAACGCCTTCAGAAAAGCAGAGGGGGCTGTGAGACCTTAGGCAAAGCGAAGCCAGATTTCTAGGCTAAACTTGATAGCCGAATGGCCTACACAGGCAGAGGCCCGGCAGTTAGGGAGACCATGGCCCGGCACGCTGGGACCTCGAGCCAAGCTTCTAGTGTGAGCACACGTGCCCTGGTCAGGGGGTGCCTGGCTGGCTCGGTCAATTGAGTGTCTGCCTTTTGGCTCAGGTCCTGATCCTGGGATGGAGCCCCCATGTTTGGCTCTCTGCTTGGCAGAGAGACTGCTGCTCCCTCTCTGCCTGCTGCTCCCCCACGTGTGCTGTTAAAAAAATAAATAAAATCTTAAAACAAAAGAAGAAGAAGAAAACTGGCCAGTTTGTCCCTTAGGACTACGATGAAGAAATGAAGGTCAAGGCTAAGGGCAAGCATCCGAGAGGCAGTGTGTTCGGATGGCTCTGCCATAGACTCTGCACCATCCCCCAGGGAGGAGTGTGGGCACGTTGCATAACTGGCTCCCAAATTATGTATGAAAAGAGTGTCCACCATGAGGGGTTTGTGGGGATTAAAGAACATTTTGTGGACAGAGTAGAGACTGGGTAAATGGTAGCTATTTTTCTACTGTGAGAAGGACCAGAGGATGTAACCAGAGATATTTAGGCTAGATATTAAAAAGAACTTCCTCCTTAGAAGGGCCCTAAAATCATAGAGTATGCGGTGGAGGCACAACAACCCAGTGACTTTTGGGCAAAAAGCAAACCATAAACTATCTGTGGTTAATTGATTGTGGCCCTATGCAGAGGCAAGGGCTGCGCACAATGACTTGGGATCTCTTCCAGCGTAAAAGTTCCTGGAATGCCTTGACCTACGGGCAGGTTTCTAAGACTACAACAGTGATGTCCTCTGCTATTGAGAACCCTGGGAACAGCTCAGCTCTGTGCTCCGGCCATATAAATCTGATAAAAATAGAGGCTGAAATACCCTCCCAGAGTTGCTATTTTTAAAAGCATCTGAGATGCTGGATTGGGTTTATTTCCTCCTCACACGGCATCTTGCTGTTCCCTCCTCCTGGTGGGCAGGATGCTAATGTGGCACATGTGAGGGACAGGAGCCAGAAGCCTGTGAGGCACATTTGTTGAGCGGCTC